GGGCCCCACGCGGGTCCGTCCCGGTTCACTCCGCCTGTTTCAGTAGTCAGAGGAGACCGGACTTAGTCGTGACCCATCCTTCTGTGGCACGGCGCCGTTTGGTGTTGTGTTTTCTTCTGGTGGAGTTAAACAGCCTCAGGTTTCGAAGGTCGCGTTTTGCACGGGGTGGGGATGATTGGAAAAGCCTCTGCTTTTGTGTAGGGACCTGTCTGGTCTCGTCAAGGAACCGCTAAGGCAGACACAAACTTCACACCACCTGAGCACAGCAAACCCAGTCCCCGACTCTCCCTTAGGTGCTAATGTGCTGATAACAGAGCATGAAAGCAGCTTTTTGAGCATTGTCCCCAAAGACAGAATAGTTGTTGGCTTTCCCCCCCCGGAATGCAGATAACTGTGTAGTGTGTGTGTGTGTGTGTAGATTTCCCTGCCTTTAGAGTGTCAGGGTGTAAAAAGCCCAGGGCTTGCTTTGCTCAGGGTCTGTCCTCAGGGGCACCAGCACGAGCTGTTATTCTACAATTTTGTTGTTACTTTACACCATGATTAAATTATTTGAAGGGTCTGGTCATCTGAAACTGCTAGGGCAAACCGAGGGGCGAGGCAGTAAGAAGACCTGGTCTGAGTGTGGGTTGTGCAGCTGTGAAGGGGCCTCAGTCCCAGCTCAGGTGGTGTGAGTGTGACTCAGAATGATTCCTGGGTGGTCCCAAGTTTCCTTAATAAGTAGTACTTAAAGGGAGCTTCTAAGGAAGATGGAGACTTTTTTTTTTTCTCCAGGGCCCATACTGACAAGATGAAGGGATGATGATTTTAAACTGGCACACGGTAGGTTTAGTTTGGGCATAACGAAGAAAAGTTTTATGGTGAGGGTGGTGAGGCACTGGCACAGGTTGCCCAGAGGAGCTGTGGCTGCTCCAGCCCTGGAAGTGTTCCAGGCCAGGTTGGACAGGGCATGGAGCAACCTGGGCTAGTGGAAGGTGTCCCTGCCCATGGAAGATGAGCTTTAAAGATCCCTCCAACCCAAACAATTCTAGGATTCTATGAGCTCCACAGGTTTTCATGAAGTGCCTGCAGATTGTTTCAAAAGTGTCTGTCAAGTGCATCTAATCTGGCTAATAAGATCAGGTGTCTGGGCTTGGTCATGCGTTTCAAAAGTGTCTGTCAAGTGCATCTTATCTGGCTAATAAGATCGGGTGTCTGGGCTTGGTCATGTTCTATTCCAAGCCACAAAGTGGTTAACTTTTTCAGAAATTTTCTTTTTGTTTAAGCCTTGAAAAAGTAGAACATGCAGTGCCAGAGCCGTTTGCAGAGGCAGTGCTACTTGGTTTGCTTTTTTGTTGATTTGAAGACTTTAATTTGAAGAGGTATCTGTCAAAGCTATGGTGTAAGTACATGAGCAGGAAGCAATAGTAAACATGTGAATAATGAATTCCCAAGATTACAGCAAGCAAATGAGTCTTGGCTTAGTTATTTTTACACCCTTGAGTAATCCACTTATGTAAGCAATTTATTTGCGTGCAGCACTCTGCTGTACAATCCTGTATGGTTATTGTGATGGTGAAAAGTATTTCATTTCAGGGGCTGTCCATAATTTACATGACAATATCACTGAATCTTGCTTTAGTAAGTGTCACTGCCTTTTGAAATATCCACAGTATTGACTGGAAAACAGTTCTTCCTGTCTATTAATGCCAAAAAGGATAGTTATATTAGTGAGCCAATCAAGAGATGCAGTTTGGAAGCTTGACAAACTTACTCCTTTCTGGCACTTTAGAGGATTGAAATACCTGAATAATAATAATCATAAGTAATGTTTATGACTACAGATGCAAGGAACATTAAACAGCAGAAAATGATGGCTCTAGAGAAGTCATCACAGCTGTGAGTTTGTGTGATAAAACCATTTCTTCATACTAAACGTGGTGTTGTTTTCATTTAGGCATCACACATTTTTATTTTAATCGGAAGTGAAATTCTTTAGTCGCTTGAATTTTGAGCCCACACAAAGCTTCTGTTGAAATATGGATTAAATTCTTCCCCTGTTAGAGGTAAATATACAGTGTATAGCATCTATAGAGTGATTATCTCTGTAAGCATTCCTGTTAGAGATGTTTATTTTCCTTGTACAGATTTGCAGTCTGTGGCAGCTCCTGTCGTTATGGCTGTGTACGTGGATCATCGAACAGACGCTCCCGATTGCGTTGCCTCCCCATCCCAGATAGCATGGCACCCACTTCATCCACTCCTGGCAGTTGCTTCCATCAGCACAGCAGCTGGGGGTTGTGTGGATATCTACCTGGAACAGGTGAATAACCAGCAGTTTTGATTTTGGTCTTGATATAGAATCACAGACTGGTTTGGGTTGGAAGAGACCTTAAACCTCATCTCATTCCACCCCCTGCCATGGGCAGGGACACCTTCCACTAGCCCAGGTTGCTCCAAGCCCTGTCCAGTCTGGCCTGGAGTATTTCCAGGGATGGGGCAGCCACAGGTTCTCTGGGCAACCTGTATCATCATGCTGGTTTGAAACTTCACAGTTTTTATCTCTATTTTTTGTGACCTTACTTAAGCTCCTTAAATCCCTCTCAAGGCTAAACAAACCCAGTGCCCTCAGCTGTTGGGTTGTTTTTTGTTTTACCTTGAAATGTGCTTGAAGCCTTTTTATCCTTCATACAGGAATAGGAGTTTGATATTGAGTGTGCTGTGAGGGAAGAACAGCCTAGAAAAGCAGAGCGAGCTTTTCCTCTTTCAACAGTGCTGTGTTTTTTTAGCAATTTTCGAGTGCATATACTGCATGTTGTACCACATTTTCATGCATGTGAAATAGCTGTAAAGAGAATTCATATAGCCACTTCATATCTCTGGCAGGGAGCTCTACTACATGCCAGTCCCTTATCACAGGAAAATGTCTGGTTGACTGGGGAGTGAATCTGAAGGTTTGGCTGAGTTTCCATCGGACTGAGCTCGCACTGGTTTCTGTTTGCAGGGAGAACATGTGTCTGATTCGCACGTCGAGAGAAGTTTTCAGGTCACATCCCTTGCCTGGCACCCTTCCAGGCCCATTCTGGCAGCAGGATGGGAGACAGGAGAAGTTGTGATAGTGAACAAACAAGACAAGGAGCAGCATGCTGTACCCCCAGATCACAGTGACAAAATCACAGTCCTTAGCTGGAGTACAAATGGTACCTGCCTTGTGTCTGGGGATGGGGTGAGTAGCTGAAATGCCAATGTTTGATGCTGAACACAGTGTTGGAAGCTCTGTGATGGGAAGGGATCGTGGAATTGGTTGTTAGGGGAAGGCAGAGTTGTGTGGGAGAGAAATTTCCTCTTAGTGTTTTAACTCTTCCTATAGTACTCATTGCTGTTCTGCCAATTTCTCTTTAAATGAAAGTGTCTAAGCTCAGTGAGTGCTGAGCAATAGATGAAGGTTTAAGGCTATTTCATGCATGGGGCAATTGAGGCATAGACAATTTGAATTTTTTGCTCCTGTCCATGAAGGAATTTTGTGTCAGACTCAGGAATAAAGCCCAGATGATAAGAAACAAATTCCAGCTACAACATGTTCATCCCTAATGAGTGCATAGCAGTGCCCACTTAAGTACAGGAAACCCATGCCAATCTCTCTTGTTCTGGTTTTATTAGTGCTCTAAAAATGAGTCAAACTTGTTGTATGGGAAATATAACACTATTTTTTGAAGAGCTGGTTAGTGAGAAAGTAGCTGTTGAGTAGTTAGGATGAAGTATTCATAGAAGATTCTAATTTTGCCAGTTCTTGAGTCAGCAAATAAAGAAATTTTAAAAAAAAAACAAAACGTGTGGTTCTCTGTATTTTCCCTGATAGAAGAATGGCTATGACCATTTAACTTTCTTGGATAACTTGATTGTAAATAAGCAAATAATACAATGTTAAAGATAACTTTGATTCCCTGTGGCTTAGTTTTAAGTGAGAGGAATTGTATGTGCCAACTAAATGAAAGGGAGGATGTTGGTGTCAATAAAATGTTTATTTTCACATGCAGTGAGTAGCTGAGTCCGAATTCTCATGTGTGTGTGAAGCCTAATGAACTAGCTGTTGTCTTTTCCCAGCATGGTGTGTTGTTCCTGTGGAAGATGGACCAGCGAGGCCGAGTGCAGGGCTCTGCCCTGGTGAAGCAGGAGTATGGGAAATGCCTGGCTCACTGTGTCTTTCGGCCACCCCCTCCTGGAGAGTGAGTAGGGGCCCTGGCAGAGCTCTGCTAGATCACCTCTTTCTCTTGTTCCACCAAAAAAGAGTCCTACTCATAGATGAACTACTTTTAAATAGAGAAAAAATAACCTCTTCTAACTTCATTCCAAGCTCTGCTCCCACTCCAGTAGCTGGCTCTTTGTGCTCTGCATGCAGCAACAGATCTTCCTCTTGTCCATACGTTCTGTCTGTTGCTGTTGACTCTTCTGTCTTTAATTCTTCTAGTTATCCATGTTGCTGATTGTGAAAAGCAGGAAGCATGCTGGAAATACAATTATCCATTACATTATTGTCCAAAATAAAAGTCAGTTCTTAAACATTATTTTTTCTTTCCTCTCCATGCAAGAAATAGGAAACAATCTGAGTTAGAAAAGAAGAGTTTTCCTTGTTTCTCTTCTGTTTCACATATCTGTAAAAACAATAATGCTTATGGGGAAAACAAAGGGGTGAAACAATGCAAATTAAAGTAATATTAAAATTTTGGTTTGTATCTTTTTGAGTTTGTTCTTTTCCCAGTGTATGAAGCAACTTTATTCTCTTTGTACAATAAGCTTTGTTAATTGCTTGTCTGTTCTCTGAGACTGAAACTACTCTGTTTTGTGAGGAATTGGGAATGAAACATCTCTGTTTGCAGGGACCTTGTACAGCTGGCAAAAGCAGCTGTGAGTGGTGATGAGAAGGCCTTGGATATGTTCAACTGGAGGAAAGCTGGAACAGGACCACCTCTGAAAATGTCAGTCCAGGAAGGACTCTCCTTCTTTATCACTTTGACAGATGGTAAGAGTAAAGCCACTTTTCCAGTCTACTGGAAATTCGTTTCCTTAAAGCTTCAAAATAGCTCAGTGCATGATAGTTCTGTTTTCATATATCCAACATTTGGGGTGTATCATATAGCCATCAATATTCATGTATCCAACAGGGTAGAGTATTCCTGGGACTTGTAGAATGTTTGATAAGAAATGAGTAAAAGTATTGAAATCTTACCCTGTTCAGGGTGAGTCCTGTCCACAAGGACCCCAGAGGTTAGTCAGGTTCCTGAAGAAGTGAGTGTGAGGGACAATCTCTGACACACAACTGTAAATGAAGTTAGCAGTGTCAGCATTTGTGCAAAGCTCCAGACAATGCATGTGTTGTCAGTTTTTTTCCTGTAAACAGGCAAATGCTGCTAGAACATAAATAAATTCTTAAAATAAATTCTGAATTTGCTTTCCCACTTTTTTTCTCATGCTTTGAAATGAAGCTTCAGTTTAAGAGAATAAAAAAAGTCTGAGAATCTGTTTTGTTAGTTTTCTCCCTAATATTGTTTCTTCCCTACCATTTGTCTTTTCCTCTCCCTTTTAGTCTTCTGGGTACTAGTTTGCTCCAAGCTCATTTTCATCCCACCCGTTGTTCTCATGGTGCTTTCTCTCTCTAACCTGCTCACTCTGAACTGGAGCCAGAATGTGTGTGACAAGTGGTATAATGAGTCTGTTTCTGGTACATAATCCTCTCGATTCAAGTGGTAACTGCTCTGAAATCCTTTCAGTTATGCTGGTTCTGCAGCTCAGTTACAGTTTGTTTCAGTGTTATATCAAGAATGAGACCCCTTGTTTACACCAGCACAGCAGGAGTGGCCAGGGCCAGCTGCATGGTTGGTTTGCAGAGCACTGAGCTGTACCTTCGTTTGATTTGGGAATGACAAGTCTCTTTAGTAGGTATGAACCATTTAAACGGGAAAAGAGTACAGGTACCTGTACCTCCTACCTCTTAAAGGTAGGAGGAGAGAAACTGAGAAGCTGTGCCAGTTCCTCGCCTTCAAAGCTGCAGTTGTGGTGGTGCAGAGCCCCATCTAGGGACAGGCACAGTGTCCTGCGGGCACTGTCCTCGGCCTGGGCTCCTCAGCACACTGCTCAGATGTCAGTCAAATGATAGTGACTGGTTTTTTTGAGCAGTATCATTGCCTAGGCTGCTTTGGGCATGTGTATTTTGGACCCAGTTCTTAATCTAGTTAGTGATCTGCCGTAACTTCCAAATGTCCTGAGAAGGGCTTGAGGATTCTGGTAGATGAAAGGCTGGACATGGCCCAGCAATGTGTGCTGGGCTCATCCCCACAGTGTGGGCAGCAGGTCAGGGGGGGATTCTGCCCTTCTGCCCCACTTGGGTGAGATTTCACCTGCTGTGCTGTCTCCAGCTCTGGGGGTCCCAGCACAGGAAGGATGTGGAGCAAGTCCAGAGGAGACCACAGAGATGCTCTGAGGGCTGGAGCACCTCTGCTCTGGACACAGACTAGGAGAGCTGGTGAGGCTCAGCCTGGAAAAAAGGAGGCTCAAGGGGAACTTTCTCACTCTGACTCACTCCCTGCCAGGAGGTGCAGCCTGGTGGGGTCAGGCTCTTCTCCCAGGGAACAAGGGGCAGGACAAGAGGAAACAGTCTCAAGCTGTGCCAGGGGAGGTTTAGATTGGATATCGGGGAAAATTTATTCACTGAAAGGGTAGTCAGGCATTGGAAGAGGCTGCCCAGGGCAGAGTCACCATCTCTGGAAGAGTTCAAAAACCACTAGACACTTTGGCACTTTGTGATATGGTTTAGTGGGCATGGGAGTACTTGGTTGAAGGTTGGACTTGATGATCATGGAGATATTTTCCAACCTTAATGATTCAGTGATTCTCTGTACAGTAGCACAATGTAATGAAATGATAATGGCTTTTAAAATGTTGATAGGTACTTCAGTCACTGTTGTCAGTGTTCTTAGACACCATCACATTTGCCTGTGAAATCAATGGGTTTAAGCTGTGTTTGGTGTGTGGTGCAGTGTTTCTAAACAATGAACTTGAGGTCCACAGTTTTCTGTCATCTAAACTGCTGTAAATTGGACCAATTCTTAGCAGCCATTCTTCTTTCACAGGTTGTTTTTAAGACTGAAGGTTTCAGACACCATACACACATATACAGAAAGTTTACTTGTAGTTCGGATTTCCTAAATAGGGAAAAAAAGAAGTTTGGGTTTATTGCTTTGATCAGCTATCACAGTCTGTATCCTTAGACAAACTAGAAGACAAAAGAATTGTGGTTATTTTCACCTTTTTCAGCACTGGAGGAATATTTTATTAAGGTAGAAAGCAGCAGCTTTGGTTATTGTAGCTAAAAGCTGTTGACTAAATGCTGCTCCTTGTTTGTGTGTGCTGCAGGTTCTGTGCACTATGTGAGTGAGAAAGGAAAGACAAAGCAGGTGTTGTCCACAGATAGTCTGGTCCGAACTCTCCTGTTCCTGGAGGAAAGGAATGTTTTACTTGTGATAACAGAGAACCTGCAGTTGTCCTTGCATACAGTCACTGCCGAGGGAGAGGCAGAAGAGCTGGCAAAGGTAAGAACCACACTGAAAGGTAGAGCTGCAATATTTATCCTTTATAAGCATTGGTTTGGGTTTTTTTCACGGCCACTGTTTTGCTTTCAAGTGAATCAACTCTCAGTTTTGTTTCTCACATAATACCTTAATGAACAAACAGCAAGATATTCATTTGAAAGTGGGCTAGAGTTGATGTGTTATTGAACTTGAAAAAATGGTTTTCATCCTGCCTTCCTGTTTTTTCATAGTTTCTTTCATTTTGACCCTATGTTAATCCTTCATTTCCTTTTCTTGGTGAATAATTAGAGATGATGGTATATCAAATATTTGTTAAAATGTCTTGTGATAAGTAGTTGATAATCTGTGTCCTCAGTTTTGTTATCCTCAGTCACTCAGAGCTTGTCTTTCAGCTCAGTAGGAGCTGTCACTCCTCTGGGTGACACTGCCTTTTTCTGCACAAACGATGGTTTAGTTCTTACACTGTGAAAGTGTTCTTACAGCTGAAAAGGCAAGAGAGCTTTCAAAAAGTAACAGCCCACAAGTCACAGAATCACAAATAATAGTGTAACGACCCAAAAATTACTGGGTAGGAGCAAAAAGCAAACTGACCTCGTGCATGGCTTAAAATCTCTTTGGCTCACATAAAATACTGTACTGTCAGGGAACGAAGCCTGGGGGTAGAACCCAAACCTTCACCTTCCTAAGATTTTTTTTTTTTGTATGTAAGATATAAAAAGACTGGACACTTGTGTGTTAGAGGAGTGTCCACTTCTTATTGATCATTACTTGTGTTTGAGGTAAGATTTGGTATCTCACATTTTAAAGCAATAGTTATCAAGTTCTAAGATAAGATCTAGTGCAAGAATAAAAAGCTGCTCCTTACCTACTTATTTCACCCACTTCAAGGTTTCTTTCATTAAATTTTTCCATCACATACTTGATGCATTTAGTGGTGATCTCTATTAGTCTGTCTGAAATAACAGACGAGTCTAGTCGTTCTTACATCTTTTTTAGCCAAACTAGGCAGTTCAGCTGCTTATTGTCCTTCAGCATGTTCCTCCCACCTTCTGTAAATTTACTCATTTGCTTGTGGTTAACAGGTGAAATTGAGTGGGAAGACAAGTCATTCTGCAGACATCATTCTCATAGACCATAGCCTGGTGGTTACAGCACTAGGAGAGACAGTCATCAGGTAAGAGCCCTGTTTGAAAGCTGTTCTGGCTGCCCCTGAGAAGGGTCAGCTAAAATGTTTCCAGCCTGCAATGCACTGAATATTTTGCTGAAATGTTAGGGGGGTTGATTTTTTTACTAGTAATGAAAAATTCCCAAAATTCCCTAATTTTGTTTCTCAAAATAAATAGAGAATAGAATTCATAGGAGAATATCCCAAACATGCTGCAGATTAAAAAGTCAAAGGAAAAGGAAGGAGATTGTTAAGAAATTCACTTTGCAGAGGCAGCTGCTGACAATTTAATTCTAAAAATTGAATGGTCTGGATATTATGGAAACAGAAAATTAGTGCCATGTATAGCATCCTATTGACTGTGTTTAGCAAAACACCTGGAAGGAAAAGCATTGTTAACACTCTTGTTTTGTGTGCCTTAGGTTCTGGGATTTGGACCGAGATGAGAACTATGTGCTCTCCCCAGAGGTGCAGTTTGGCTTTGAGGGAGGAGAATGTATTAACTGTGTGTCTTACTGCAGTGCTAAAGGTGAGAAATCACACAGCACCTGTGATCTCTGGCTGCCAAACCTTGTCAAACCTCAGCCTGCAGTGCTAGTCATTTCAGCTCAGAGTCTTGGTAGCAGCACATGGTGCAGAAGGTTTTAGTTTGGACCAGGAATGTGCCTTTGGGGGCACAGGGAGGTCATTCCATACTCACCACGCTTTGGCTCACTGTGCCAATGTGTCAAGGTGGATTCCTTTTGATGCAAGTAACCCTGGAGTACACCTAATGCACTCCAATGTGTGTTGGGCATTCAGTCTTCCAGGCAGCACTACAGCTCCTGCAAAGGGGAACTCACCAGTATGTGTCATGTGGATGTCAAGGCCTTACATGGATCTTTTCTACAGTTACTCCTGTGCATCACTTTGCCAGCACAGGCACAGCTGATGTCTGTGGAATAGTTTTCAGAGGTTCCTTGCCTATGGTGACTACAAAACCAGCTCTTCAAAAGTAAACACAAACCATAGGAGGTCACTTGGTCTGTTCAGCCTGGAGCAGAAGAGACCAAGGTCAGACCTCATCAAGGTCTGCAGCCTCCTCATAAGTCTCAGTGAAGAGGTGACCAGGGACAGGACCCAAGGGAATGGCATGAAGCTGTGCCAGGGGACAGTTAGGCTGAATATTAGGAATAGGTTCTTCCCTCAGAGGCTGTTTGGGCACTGGACCAGCTCCCCAGTGCAGTGGTCACAGCCCCAAGCCTGACAGAGCTCTCAGGCACAAGGTGGGATTGTTGAAGTGTCCTGTGCAGGGTCAGGAGTTGGACTAAATGATCCTTGTGGGTCCCTTCCAGCTCACGATATTCTATGACTTTATATTTTAAGAGATGGTTAAAACAAAGGTAAGTTCATATGGTAGCTTAGAAAATGTGCTTTGCCACATGGAACTTCTTCCAATTTTTCTCCTGAAAGGTTCTGCAGCCCAGGGCTGGGGTGGTGGCTTGCAGTAAGGCAGGAAATGCTGCTGCTGGAAGTTGGCTTCTCAGTTCCTGAGAACCCAACTGTGTAATGTGGGTTTGTTTTTCTGAAGTTCAAGATGAAATGCCTGAGTGTTTGTGAATGGCAGGTCTCCTGGCAGCTGGGACAACCAAGGGGAGAGTAGCAATGTGGAGGAAAGCAGCAGGATCTGATCAGAGCACATTGGCTTTGGAGGGCAAGGAGAGGTGGAAGTTCCAGGCATCTACAGAACTCGAAGGAAATGTCACACAGATAAAGGTAAGAAAGGAAAGTCTCCTTGAATATGTGTGGGACTTCACAAGCATTAGGTGAACAGAACATCTTGGTGACACAAATGAAGGTGACAATGACTCCTTCATTTTTGCATGTATTTAACTTGCTTTGCTGGGGGATTTGAGCTGCACTGCCAGAAAGGGCTGTCAAAGGACATGGTAATCAGAAACTATGCATACACTTTGCTTTCACATTATTCAGAGTTATTAAACCTTTTAAATAAGCGGTGCCTTATTGCAGCAGTAAATGTAAGGTGGCACAATAATATCTTAGGGGAAAAATAGTTTTAATTTACAAACCAGCTCCTCTACTTAGACTAAAGGAGTATGAGTAGCTGGTAAGAAACACAGTAGTTTGAGTCTGTAATAATTCCTAGTCATTGCCTATAGATGTATTTCGATAGTAGGACATTGTGTATGTATAAAAATGTTTATTCTGTCCTTCCCCTTGTCATCTCTCTTGGGACATTGCTGCTGCTGTTCAGGCCCTTAGATGAAATGGTGTGTTTATCCCGTTGTTTCCAGTGGGGCTCCCGAAAAAACCTGCTGGCAGTGAACAGCATCAGCTCCGTGGTGATCCTCAGTGAACAGGCCATGTCTGCACATTTCCAGCAGCAGGTGGCTGTGGTACAGGTGTCTCCCAACCTCTTCAATGTCACCATCTTCAGCACAGGAGCCACTCACAGCCTCCGTGTAGATATGAATGTCAGTGGAGTCTTCGCTACTAAGGTTAGTTGTTGTGTTTTCATCTCTTTGCTCTATCAGTTGCCTAGTTAGGTGTATGGAGACCAAACTTTCTCAGTCTTTACTGTAAGATACTCAAATTTGAGTGTTATGGAAGTATTGTTGTGACAGTAGCACTGGTGCTGTGGTGGAGCTGATTTTTCAGATAGCACAGAGACTCAGGAATTCTCTAGGTGCTGACCAGAGAACTTCTGGGTTACCAGGAGCCTTCTAACCCAATGTACAGAGGAACTGGGAACTGGTGGCTGTTGTAGGGGAGTTCTTGCTGTGTTATTGCATGAACTCCTGCATGTTTCCAAAAGAAACTGACTTTGGGATTTTGTTTGTTTTAGGATGCTGTAGTGTTCTGGAATGGGAAGCAAGTGACTGTCTTTGAGTGCTCAGGAGATACCTTCAGAAGTGCAGGTAGGACTTAGACCACTGGTTGGAATGGTTCTCATCCTTTCAAACATACACATTCTCTGCATTCATGGTAGCTGATGGACTGTAATCCTAGATGTCTCTCCTGCCATGGCTGCAGGGAGAGGACCAGAGGGAATGGTCATAAGCTGAGACAGGGGAGAGTCATATTAGATGTCAGGAAAAGTGCTTTCCCTGTTAGGGTGTTCAGGCACTGGGATATTGCCCAGGGAATTGATGGACTCACCATCCCTGGAAGTGTTTAAGAGGTGTCTGGATCTGACACTGGAGGATATGGTTTAGGGTTTCCAACACTGACAAGTTAATGGTTAGCCTTGATGATCTTAGACGTCTCTTCCAACCTTGACGATTCTATGATTCTAAGTTGAGTGCTTTAAGTTAATTTTTATTTTCTTTTCACAGAACCTATTTCTTGTAACAGTGGCTTTTTTTTTTTGGTGATTGTTCCAGGCTCTTTTCTTTGTGACTCTCCAGTTCTGTCTGTGCATGGAGAAAATCTGTACACAGTGGAGCCGTATCGGGTCCAGGTCCGCACCTGGCAGGTGACGATTCTATGATTCTAAGTTGAGTGCTTTAAGTTAATTTTTATTTTCTTTTCACAGAACCTATTTCTTGTAACAGTGGCTTTTTTTTTTTGGTGATTGTTCCAGGCTCTTTTCTTTGTGACTCTCCAGTTCTGTCTGTGCATGGAGAAAATCTGTACACAGTGGAGCCGTATCGGGTCCAGGTCCGCACCTGGCAGGTGAGGGCTGATGAAACCACAAAGGGACAAATACACCTAATTGTTTGAGGGCTGATGAAACCACAAAGGGACAAATACACCTAATTGTTTTCAAACACTAGTGTTAGAGCTTTAAAGTTAAGTGGGTGCTCCTTCTAAATCAGGTTGAATATGTATATTACTGACAGGAAGATGAACATAATGATTACTCTTACAAGATAATGTGTGTTCTGCAAAATCTTTTGCTGAACCTTTGCAGCCCCTGCTAGTCCAAGAGAACCAGAAAGGGTAATCTAATTATCAGGGGAAATCAATATGGTGTTTAAGTATGAGTGTGATTGATCACATAAATCTCATGTATTTATTTTTGTAGCTGGATATTTGAGGGCCTTCAGGGATGTGTATTTCTGTAACCCTCTCAGTTGGAAAGGGTTGTGTCACTGGAGAGGGTTATTGCAGAAGGATGCTTTTAAATTTAGACTTTTTTTGGAGGCTCTATTATACATACCTGAAACACAGATTTCATTCGTAGGGATCATGTGTGTGTAGTTTCTCCAATTTGCTAGAAGTGATTTGTCTGACACAGAAGTTCAGCAGTTCATGACTTGACTTGGTAACAAAATGAGTCCGTTCCCGTGAGGCTTTGGCCACATAAACCTGGTGTTCCATGTTTCTCCCCAGGGCACAGTGAAACAGCTGCTGGTGTTCTCTGAGGCAGAGGGGAATCCATGCCTCCTGGATGTCTGTGGGAATTTCTTGGCTGTGGGAACTGATTTGGCTCACTTTAAAATCTTCGATCTCTCACGCAGGTACTAATAAGGTTTTAAAGTAATCTGTCCAGAGATGTTGTGGTTTTGATCTGATGAAAAGCAACAGCCCCTTTGAATCTTGAGACAGTACATGCAGCCTGTGGGAGCTGATGGCCTATCCCCAAAGCAAGGGAAGAGCCATGGAATAATTAGGCAAATCATGGGACAATACTGATTTTTATTTTTTTTTTTTTTTTTTTTTAAAAGGATACCATGAGGGCTATTTGTGTGCAATTAAAAGTGGGTGGAGAATTTATGGAAGATCAAGACAAGGATGTCTGATGGTTCTGATAACTTGAACAAGACCTTAATCTCAGAAGAGTGGGGTGGTTGGTCACAAGTGTTATTGAGAACAGCTGGGGAGAGGATTTGAACCTTTAGGTAAAGGCCTTAAGCCTTTTGCATTTGCTGAGCTCTGCTACACTAGGGATCCATTTTTTAGGATGTGGTGGTGTGGGTGAGTCTTTGGTAACTTAGCTGAGTTCATTACTTAGGCTGAACATGTGCTTGTGTCATTGGCTTTGCTTTTCTGGCCCTTAGATAGAAACTGTCCTGGATTGCTCTGGTCTGAGCTCAGATCATGTAGTAGGATGGTTAATAGTTGAACAAATGAACCCTTAGCAGTGGCTGCACCTGATGTCCTGATCCAGCATGGAGCTGTGAACCTCCCCATTGGTGTGGCTCCTGGAGCAGATTGTGCTGTGATCCCTGGGGTAGCTTGCCACTGATCAGCTGTACTGGATGTGGTTGCTGTCAACAGGTTGAGGAGTTGCTCTCAGTTAAGAGGGCTGATCTTATTTTTGGAGGTTTTGTTGTTCTCCCAAAAAAATGTGGGACAGCATTTTGGGTGAGTGAGCCAGGGAGGTGAAGAGGTGGCCACTGATTTTTAAGTTCCATATGGTCTTCTTGTCTTATGGGGCTATAGTTACAGAGAAAACTGGGTCTCATATCACCTCATAAACCAACAAAGTGGATTCAGTGAATCCATGGAGGAAGTGACCTAGAACTGTAGATCCTATTTTTCCTCATTTAGTTTAAGAAAGAAGATTACTTGACTTTGTTCAGACTTTACTGTGTGCTCCCATGCTGACAAACATGACAAAGACACAAGCTGAGATGACCTTTGGTTCAGAAATTTTGCTGCTAACAACAAGTGTAATTTTGAAAAGCTGAAAAACCTGAAGAGTGAAACAAATTCTCTTCTTCCTTGCATGCTGCCACTTGCTAAACATTAAAGTCTAGTTAGATACCCCCTGGAAGCTCATTACCTGGATTGAGTTTGCACAAATTCTGCCTGAGACACAGTTTGAAGGTTATTGGATTTGGGCAGGTTGTAACTAGTGGAGACAGTGGAGAAAAAGTGGCTTCACTCCTACATGCTACGTTCAGTTTTTGTGTTTGATAATGAAAATATGGCATCTCTTTACTCCTGCTCCACAGTGTGCACACAACTTTTAGATGATGGGCTCTGTTCAACCTTCAAGGTACAGTTTGACTTCTGTAGGAAAAGCAGGCATCTGGATCCAGAATTCTGGTCAGGTGTTCTTGCTGTATAGCCCTTTTTTGGGGGGGAACACTGTAGAAACACTGAATTTTTTTCTTGCTGATTCATTGAGGAAAGAGTATCCATTAACTTCTTCCTGAAAGAAAGGCAGTGGCAGCAATCCTCTGGAGAGGAAGCTGGAGTCTGGAGCAGCGGTGTCATACAGTAGAAATAGTTTGTTTTTAAAAGTCTTACCCATAACTTACAGAATGTGGGTTGCCAGTTGCTTGCCACCATATATGATTGAGGTTTATTTCTTCCCACAGAGAGGCAAAAGTGCACTGTAACAGCAAGAGTTTGTCTGAGCTGCTCCCAGGCTGTGTCGGCATCGCATCCGTCAAGTGCAATGCTAATGGCAGCAGAGTCAGCATCCTTGTCAGCAAGGTGAGCTCTTCACTCACCACCTGGGACCTGCCCATCACCTCAGACTGGGGCAGCTCCACATCCCTGAGCACACAAGGTTCACTTCTCCAAATTAAACCTACGTGGTACTTGCAGTGCATTGGGTCATGCCCTGAAATGTAACTCAACAGTAAAATTAAAGTCTGTTTGTACCTGTGGTGAGAACCACCCAGAGAAGGAAGGAATATTTTAGTTACAAAAGCTGCTTTGGAGCATTTCAAAGAAATCCGAGGCTGACTTGCTGGAGTAGAAAAACAGGCAGAAGCTTTCTGGTGTTTCTCCCAAAGAATGTCCTTGTGTGATGACCAGTAAAGAAAGCTGAGATCATAATCAGGTGAGATCAATGTACCTTATTTTCTTTTAGACTGCATGCTGCAGCAACCTGTGTTTTCCCTTCTTGCAGGCAGATGGGAACATTGACTCCAAGATCTGTTTCTATGATGTTGAGATGGACAAAGTCACACTCTTTGATTTCAAGGCTGAACAGGGAGATGGTAGAGAGAAGCTTTCTGCTGGACAAGGCATTGGCAAGTAAGGAACTTTTGTTTCAAGAAGTGGGAATGGTGGATTTAAGATGGGAATCTGCCCTGTGAAGACAAGCACACACTAACTAAAGCTGTTGCATTGTATGTCCATCAGCCTGCAGCCCTGTCTGTCCCAATAACCTGAGCTAGGGTGTGTCAAATGATGGTACCAGAGAGCAAGTTCAAAAGAAGCAGGAGGAGGCAGTTCTTCAGCCAACATGTAGCTGAGTAAGGAACTCCTTGCCAGAGGAAGTTAGAGGTGATGAAGGAAGGGCTCGTGGAGGTATTGGACAAATTCATAGAAGAGAAATGCAGAGAGAGTTATTAGCCATGTGGAAGCCACATCTGGCTCCAGAGTTCTCTGAGGGGAGGACGATTTGGTGTGTGTGGGAGGTATGTGCAGAGATATTATGTGATTGGAATCAGGATCTGGATCTTAAAATAAAGAAAAAGCTTGGAAAGCTACTCATCTTTGAAGAGTTTGCATGGTAGGAACTGAAAAGAAGGTCCTGGTAGGAAAAGAATTATTTCGAAAGTGCAATAAAGGATGTTTTTGTGTGGGTGAAATGTCTATTTAGAGGTGACACCTTTGTGTTCGTGCAAACTGTTCTGTGGGAAATGCATTAGAAATCCTAACAGGAAAACGCAGTGAGGTAGGAATTCTCATGGCAGTACAGTGGATTGTTAGGGTACAAATTCCCATCTGGTTTTGCAATTATTTTTCTGACTATTTTTCCTAAGAAAAACCAGCATTGGAATAGGTGGATTGCTTTTTTAGCAACTATCTACTATGGGCATTAGAAGCAAAAAAAAGGAATGACTCTCCTTAGCCCTGAAAACCAGAAGAAACTATCTAGCCCATCAAAACCTAAGGCCAGTGCAAATTTAGGGGCTTATCTCTAGGTCAGTTATGCAAGAGTGTAGTCGTGAGTAGTGAGGGAGTTGTTTCCAAGTGCAGTATCCTGTGGAGCCCAACAGAGGCCATCACGAGCCAGTGATGCTGTTTTGCTGGTATTAAGTCTTACTGTCGGTGTGAATAACTCATTTTTCTGGACTTCATTATAGAGGACTTCAAATTAGAGTGAGTAGACTCACCAGAAAGATGTAAT